CCTCCTGAGTAGCTGGGACTACAGGCACGCATCACCATGCCCAGCTAGGTTTTGTTTTTGAGTAGACATGGGGGTTTCACTATATTGGTCAGGCTGGTCTTGAACTCATGATCTCATGATCTGCCCACCTTGGCCTCCCAAAGTGCTGGGATTACAGGCGTGAGCCACCGCACCCAGCCAGGAGTTGATTCTGAGTTAATTAAAAGATTTTCCCCAGGTGGACCTCCCTTCGTCAGTTAAAAGCCTTAAAAGAAGTACTGGGTCCTTCCCAAAGGGAGAGAGTCTCCTGCTGACTCTGAAGAAGTAAACTGCCTTGTTGAGAGAGGGCCTGGGAGGGGCCACGTGACAGGCATCCACGAGTCATGCCAAAAGCCAGAACAGCGCTCAGCTGACAGCCAGCAAGACAACGGGACTTGAGACCTATGGCTACAAGAAACTGAAAGCCACCAACAACCACGTGAGCTCAGAGGAGGACCCCAAGCCTGGCCAACCTCTTGTTACAGTCTTGTGAGACCCTGAACAGTGGACTTCTGCCCAGACTCCTGCTCTGTGGAAACTGTGGGATGATAAATGAATGTTGTGTTAAGGTGCCAAGTTTGTGTTAATTGGTTGTGAAGCAGTAGATAACTAATGCACTCACAAAAGCCTGTTTATCCTGCATGAAAGCGGGAGCTCTGATGGCTGCTCCTCAGCAAGGGAACTGGAGCGACAGCAGCGCAGAGGGCAGCAGGCGGGGCCATGTTTATCGCTGGGCGGTGGTCACACATCATTCCATTCCTGTGGGGTCAATCCATTTGTTAAGTTAGTGCTCTGGGCATCCTGTGGCCTGGTTTACATGCAGGAGCTCATTCATCATTACAATATCCCTGTGAGATGTATTTCCATTTTACAGATGAGGAAACCGAGGTAGGGAGTTTATGTTGTCTGAGCCAAGTGTGGTAAGCGCATGCCTGTGATCCCATCTACTCAAGAGGCTGAGGCCAGAAGATTGCTTGAGCCCAGGAGTTCAAGGCTGCAGTGACCTATGATCATGCCACTGCACTCCAGCCTAGGTGACAGGACCCATCTCTTGAAAAATTACATAAATAAATACTGTGTCAGTTATACAAACTGACTCCCTTTCCATATTTTGTCGGTTATACAAACTGACTCCATTTCTGAGCTGTCAGTCTCTTCCATGGTGTTCTCTTGGAACAAGTCCAAAATAAAGTCCTGCTGCAAACAGTAGCTATGGTTGTACATTGTTGAGTTGTATTTGCTTTTTGGACTAGATAATATTTACATGTTCGAGATTCAAAATGTACCCAAAGTCCCCCAATTATCAGTTTTCCCCTCTGCAAGTATGCAGGACGCTGCTGGTGAGGCCAGTTTCTTGCATAACCTTTGGGAGTTATTTCACACTTCTGCGTGTGCCTCCCCTCCTGTCCCAGGTAAGAGCACACCTACGCTCACTGCTCTGTACTTGTATTACGCAACTTTCTGTCTTGGAGATAATTCCATATCCGTTCAGAATGAGGACACTTTCTCCTCCTCTTTCATAGCTGCATTGTATTCCAGAGAATGGATTTACTCTGTTTGTTTAACCAGTCCACACTGACAGCCATTCGGGCTATTTCCCACCTTTTGTTATCTGGCCGTGTTGTCATGGTTACTCTTGTACATATCATAGTTTTGTGTATGTGCAAGAATATGAGAGGGAGCAAATCGTAGAATTAGAGGACCCGCACCAAACGTTGCATGCTTATGAACATTTTTTCACAGGTCCTGAAACTCAGCTTCTCAACATCAACTTGTGATCGTCTCCCAGCGGGCTTCAGAAGTCTTCCGTGTCTGCTGTCACGGAGAAGCTCAGTGTTCCGCATTCCACTGCTCCACTCTCCCACGCAACTTTCTTTAGCATGTTAGGAACCAGAGGAGTCTAGGGAACAAGAAGGCCTGCCTGACTAGCATTTTTTTAGTATTTCCCAAGGTCTCTTACAGGGAGTGTTCAAGTCGGCTTCCCTAAAAGCAGAGCTAGATACGGGGATTCTTGTGCAACCGTTTTATTGCATGAGCAAAGTAAGCAAGGGTAGGAAGAGCAGGACAAAGACGAGTGTCAGAAGCTCAGCCTCAGCCTGATTCTGTGGGGAACACTGGAGAGTGACCTGCACCATGAAGACTGCCGTTTTGAGACAGGGGAGCTGGGCTTTTGTATACCTTTCATTGCCTACAGACCAGAGAGAAGGGAACATCAACCCCCAGGGATCTCCGAATCAGACAGCTCTAGTTGTCCAAGAGAAATCATTAGCAGGAGGGTGCAGGTGTACGGAGTTAGCAGCAGCACCCACAGTAGCTGGGGGCTGGATGCACAGACCTGGTGAAAGGGAACCTGGGAATCTGAGCAGGGCAACAAGGGGGGTCCCTGCTGCTATTCCATAGGAGCCATCTGAATTGTAGAATTGCCTCCCATCTATCTGGTGTCTGCCAAGGCTTTAAGCTGATGTATTCTGGGGACATACAAATCTGACCGCGCCTTCCTTCCACTTGCAAACCTGGCTTATCTGTATTCTTGCCCAGGCATCCCTCTGGATCTGCCATGCCAGGCAGCTGCCTTACAGATCTCACAAGACTTTTGATGTTACTTTTTACTGTCCACTCAAAGAGTTTGTTATATTTTTCAACTCTCATTTGAAACAAGGGGAGGGAAAAAAATGTTTACTGAACAGAAAATACAGTCAATAGAAAGCAAAATTATTTCTGCGGCCTTTTACAAGAGAGTTACAAGCAATGTCACAGTAACACAAATAACTTGACCGCATCTTTTTTAACTCCTTGGAAAGCCCTAAGGCCACAACCACAGAAAAAGTTTCCTGCAGATCAGATATTTGATTTCTGGAGTGGGTGCTTTCGTGACACATACTGTTTCAGTTGGGAAAGGTGAAAGAGGCAATGCGGACCTTTGTGTTGATAATGTGACGCTAGTTTTTCTTTTTTCCTATTTATTTATTTATTTATTTATTTATTTTTTAGAGACAGGGTTTCACCATGTTGACCAGGCTGGTCGTGAACTCCTGACCTCAGGTGATCCACCTGCCTCGGCCTCCCAAAGTGCTGGGATTACAGGCGTAAACCACCACACCTGGCTGATGATGGTTTTTCAAGGGTTCCTCAGTGTCCGCATTATCAAGCAGTGCACCTTTTTTTCTGGCTGCCATGTTGGGCAGAGGAAGGAACTGTGTAGCATAACATGCATCCCCTGAGCGTGACGGGGTCTGCTTGCTGACAGTAAGTCTACTAGGTTTGTGATGACGTAGATCCTGAGTTCATGGATGTGATTACTACTGTTACTTATAGTTGCCTTACAGTAGTTTATGGATAAAAAATTACCTTCCTGATGTAGTGGGTTGAACGATATCTCCTCAAAATATGTATCTTACTTCCTTAGAACCTGAGAATATTCCCTTCCTTGGAAAATGAGTCTTCTCACATGTAATTAAGACTCTTGAAATAAGGGGATCACCCTGGATTATATGGGTGGACCCTAAATCCAATGACAAGTGCCCTCGTAAGAGACACACAGAGGAGAAGGTGATGGTGATGTGAAGGCCAGGCAGAGAGTGGGCGACGCGGCAGGGCAGCCACCAGAAGCCGGAAGAGGCCAGGACGTCTCTCCAGAGTCTCTGGAGGGAGCACCGTCCTGCCGACGCCTTGACTGCAGCCCAGTGATAGTGATTTCAGACTTCCGGCCTTGAGAACTGTGAGGGAACAGAATTACAGTTGTTCTAAGTCACCAAATCTGTGGGCTTGCGACAGTAGCCACAAGAAACAAATATAGGCAGGGCACAGTGGCTCGTGCCCGTAATCCCAGCACTTTGGGAGGCCGAGGTGGGCAGATGAAGAGGTCAAGAGTTCGAGACCAGCCTGGCCAACATGGTGAAACCCTATCTGTACTAAAAATACAAAAATTAGTCAGATGTGGTGGCAGGCACCTTTAGTCCTAGCTTCTTGGGAGGATGAGGCAAGAGAATCGTTTGAACCCGGGAGGCGGAGGGTGCACTGAGCCGAGATCCCATCACTGTACTCCAGCCTGGGCGACAGAGTGAGACTCTATCTCAAGAAAAAATAAAGAAATAAATACAGCCCATTAAACATTTTCCATTGCAGTCAGATTCTAAAAATCTTCAACATTGTAGACTGCAGACATTTCATTTTTCTCCTTTTAGGGTGCTTTGCTCATTTCTAGGAATTAACTTTCAGAAAAGTGATGGCCACACTGTCTGCCTCTCGGACTGGCAGTGACGTCTCAGTCCGCTTTGAGTACATCTTTGTCCTTAATAGCTTATTCAATGAGAGAAGCAGTCCTTGAATTTCTGCTGAGAAAAACAGAACAATGAAGACAGAAGAAAACATCAGAGAGTGGTTCTCAGATGGCAGGGTGGGGCGACAGATGGGAAGCACGTTCCAAAGAAGCACTGCTTCTAGCCTTCCACAGATGATGAAGTATCCCCAGATTCCCCAAACCATCAGAATGCCAAATAAATCTTACTATTTCCCAGTAGAATCTTTCAAGACGAGCCTACTGCAGCTCAAATACATATGTATTAAAGTGGTCAAGTTAGCATTGCTTAATCCACTACTTGTGAATTGGGTGCTATCTTTTTAGTGTTTGTAGAAGTATTGGATGATTTAAGTCTCTTAATTATATATTTTTGTAACTTTTTGTTTATAAATAATCCCAGGCTTACAAAAACTTTTCAAGAACAGTACAAAGAACTGCCCATCTCCCCTTCCCTCAGGTTCTCCACTTGTTACCGTTTTCTATTTGTTTGATCGTTTTCCATTTGTATACATGCTATTACTTTTTTCTAGAAACCATTTGAGAGTGAGTTGCAGACATCATGCTCTTTTGGCCATCAGTTCTTCAGCATGCATTTTCTAAGAAAGACCCTTTATTATAGAGCAGCAGTGCAGTTACTTAAATCAGGAAGTTAATGACAGCAGTGCTATCATCTTACCTACGAGGCTTACTCAGATCTTGCCACTAATGTCCTGGGGTCTAGGATCCCATCCCAGATCATAAGGTGTATTCAGTGTCACATCTCTAATTTCCTTCAATCTGGAACACGTTCTCAATCTTTCTTGTTCTTCGTGACCTCGACATTTGTGCGGAGTCCAGAACAGAGCTGTCCCTTCGTTGGATTAAAGTCAGTGTGGTGGGACCCTCTGATACTCCACATTTTGTAGCTACACTGGAGGCAGAAGACAAAGAAAGAAGAGAAATCATGTTGGGCAGTCCTCGTCTGAATTGGAATGCCTTTGTTTCCACAGAAATCCCTTTTGCAGACTTCCTATCTGAAGTTAATAGTTAATAGTTCAAGTTAAGCTTTACTGGATGTCCTGTTCTTTTAAAAAGCCTTAGCTCAGATGTCAGCTCCTTGGGACAATGGCTAACGACCAAGTCTTATTGTATGACTGTGATGTGACTCACCTCATCTAATCCTCACAATACCGCTATCATTTATGTACTCTCATTTTGCATACTTTATAGGTGAGGAAATGAAAATAAACCCAGGTCTAGGGTGTGCCTGCTTCCCTGCTGGACTGCCCCCTGTGCTGCCTCAGAAGGGCCTTCCTCTGCCCCTCAGCTAAAGGAGTCCCCTGCCCCACCCTGCCACCATCACCCTATTCTGTTTCCCAGTTCCGATTTCATTACAGCACTTTGCCAGCCAGAATCCCTTCGTTCAATTCACCTCATTACCTGTTATGGTGGGCCTTCTCCACCAAGACCTGAAGTGCAGAGGGGCTGCCACCTTTCTGTCCAGGTCACCACGGGCTGTCCAGTTCCTAAGGTGGTGCCTGGAACACAGGAAATAATCTTTTTTCAAATGAACACCTGCATGTTTTCTTTGACCAAGCCTTTGGTAATAGCATTCCTTTCCAAAACGTCAGCACAGATCAAGGGCTTGAGAGACTTGGGTCTTCTCTAGAAGATGCAATAATGAGGCACCTACTGAGGGAAGGGGCTGGGTGTGCGTCCAGCAGTGGAAAGAGCGCCTCTGCGGGGTTCAGAACAGGCCATGGGGTCTGGGGCACATCTCTTCAAGCCTGTGAGCCAAGAATTTGGGAGAAGGCACAGGTGGGTGCCCCAGCGAAGACAGGCTAGGATGCCTGTCCTGGAGCAGCTCACCCCCACCCCCCCGCAGTGTGCGATAGAGATGCGTTTCTGTCGTAGCCGCCAGCCTGTTGTGATAGCATCTTTCTTTTTTCTTGAGTTGACAGGTTTTGGCAGACTCCCAATCAAAACAGCAGAAGCAAACAGAGACAAGCAGAGGGCTGAGAGAAGTGTCTGTCAGCTTAGCAAGCTGTCACGGCCGGGTTTAATTTAAAGCCACGCCAGGAAACACTGAATAGAGGTATTACTAATTGGATTAAAGGCTAAAAGAATCAAATACCAAAAGTGGCAGTCTCACTTTCGGATGCCCTTCCTGCCTTGAGTGTTAGCTCTTTGGTGTGGTTCTAGCCGCGGTTTTTGCCCGGCAGAGGCACTACCTGAAGTCACTCCGTCGGATGTTTGTAGAGTGGCTGCTCTGCCCCAGCCCTGGAGAGCCACAGGGGATACAGCTGTGAATGAGGCACAGCCAGCTTCCCTGTCGCAGAAAATCAAGACCCTAAACAAGGATGGTATTTCACCACACCAAAGGCGCCACTGTTTTAGCCAATCCCTAAGAAAGAAAGAAAAATATCAATTATGTGGTAACACAAATCTCTCTTATCATTTAGAATTTTTGTCTTATGGTCATTGAAAGAACTCTTTTAGACTTAATTAAATACAGATCTTATATATTTTTGTGAATATATAAAAAGGAAAATAGGTGAAGAAAAATAAATTGGTTGAGATATCCCTAAAACTTTTTTAGAGCCAGAGCCTTCCTCTTCTAAATCTTTTTATTTTTAGGTGTTTCTGCACAAGCTGTTGTCCCCTGTGCCATCAAGAGTGTGAGCCATGCAGCATTTCTCAGAAGAATCCATACAGAAACTACAGGCCGTCAGCACTGGGCTTGTGCACCAGCTTTTGATTCCCACTTTGGGAATGCTGCTAAGCCACCCCTGAGTTACTGTCCCCACCATCAGCCCCGCACCCCTGAGGTCAAGGTGCTCTACTCTTGTCTCTGGGATTTTATTCCTCCTGCTGGCACCTATGCCACACGTTTTGATGCTGGCGTGTTGGATGTTGCCACATGCACAGGCAGTGGTAACTATACACCTGTTTTTCCAATGCCATTGTAAGAAACACCCCGACTTGGCCAGGCGCAGTGGCTCACACCTGTAATCCCAGCACTTTGGGATTATAGGCAGGCAGATCATTTGAGGACAGGAGTCCGAGACCAGCTTGGCCAACATGGTGAAACCCTGTTTCTACTAAAAATATTTTAAAAATGAGCCGGGCATGGTGGCACATGCATGTAATCCCAGCTACTTGGGAGGCTGAGGCATGATAATCACTTGAACCCAGGAGGCAAAGGTTGCAGTGAGCCACTGCACTCCAGCCTGGGTGACAGAGTGAGACCTTGTCAAATAAAAAAAGAAAGAGAGAAGAAAGAGGGAGGGAGGGAGGGAGGGAGGGAGGGAGGGGAGAAAGAAAGAGAGAAAGAGAAAGAAAGAAAGGCCCTGACTTGAGGGAGTGAAAATGTGAAAGAATAGGCATCTGTGAATCGGTGAAGTGTGGCTAGTGCCAGAGTGCTGAGCATGGTGAAGCATTATGAAGGGTGATGAACGTTATGGTAGAGGATGCTGTGAGCACAGATAACTGGGTTCCCTCCTGTCTGTGGTCAGACCTTCCTGGAGAACAAAGCTCCAGGCTGAGACCTAATGCATGGGAAGGGGCAAGGCAGGAGGAAAAGGTGGAAGGGTGCTCTGGAGGAGGGAACAGTGTCTGCAAAGGCCCAGAGTTGGGAGGGAAAGTAAAGGCTTGCAGTGTTCTTGGTCAGTTCACAAAGTAGGCTTTTTGTTAGTGGTGAAGTATGGAAGAGCTGCTAGCCACGAAAATAACGTAGTGGTTCTGTGGGGCTTTGCCAGCATTCCCACCATAGCTACCTGTGTCACAGAAGCTGCTGGAAGAATTAATGATGCGGTGGGCATGTTAATATACCTAAATTAAAATATCCACTGCAGCCCAGGCGCAATGGCTCACGGCTCGGGAGACTGGGGCAGGTGGATCACCTGAGGTCAGGAGTTTGAGATCAGCCTGGCCAACATGGTGAAACCCCATCTCTACCAAAAATGCAAAAAAGTTAGCTGGGTGTGATGGCTGGCGCCTGTAATACTCGGGAGGCTGAGGCAAGAGGATTGCTTGAACTCAGGAGACAGAAGTTGCAGCAAGCTGAGATCATGCCACTGCACCCCAGCCTGGCGACAGAGTGAGACCCTGACACACACACACACACACACAAGCTCACTGCATCATTAATTCCTCCAGCAGGCTTATTTTTTCATCTGGGTCTTCAGTTGAAGGGTCTAGTGGCTTTTTTTAAGTTTTTGAGATGTTTGTTATGGAAATATGAATTTTAAAAATATTAATATAATTAAATCTGAAAGTTATTTGAAACAACTAAATTCACCGATGGGCCCACCATTCCACAGTTTCTACAATGTCATATTTTGGCCCTTGTTTAAGAATATATGTGAAGTTTGCAGGGCTGTAATCCCACTGATTACAATCATAGATTCCGCTTTGTTGCTTTTTTTTTTTTTTGTGACGGAGTCTTGCTCTGTCGCCCAGGCTGGAGTGCAATAGTATAGTGTTGGCTCACTGCAGCCTCCGCCTCCTGGGTTCAAGCGATTCTCCTGCCTCAGCCTCCCAAGTAGCTGGGATTACAGGCGTCCGCCACCACGCCCGGCTAATTTTTTGTATTTTGAATAGAGATGGGGTTTTACCATGTTGGCCAGGCTGGTCTCGAACTCCTGACCTCACGATCTGCCCGCCTCAGTCTCCCAAAGTGCAGAGATTACAGGCATGAGCCACTGCACCTGGCCCGTTGCTTATTTTTCTATTACAAAATTTAATATTTGGTAACACCCCTGTTGATATAAAAGCTTCATAATTGCACATAATATATACAATCATCTAAGTGGATATTTTTAAATTTATGTGACCACTCACTTTTAAACATGTAGTTTGCTTTTGAGCTTTTAACTACTATAAATGATATTACATTGAACATTTTCAGGGGTTGGCAAACTACAGCCCACAGACCAAATCTGGCCCGCCACCTGTTTTTGTAAATAAAGTTGTATTGGAACACAGCCAGATCCATTCATTCATGTATTACATATGGTCACTTTCACACTAGCACAGCAGAGTGGAGTTGCAATAAAGATTGTGTGGCCCACAAAGCCTAAAATATGTACTATTTGGTCATTTACCAAAAAGAAATTGCCAATCTCTGTTTTACAGTATGCAGCCGAGTTTTCTTTTGACTTACATTATTCTCCTTAAGATAAATTCTGAGAGATGGATATTCACTCATAGGATACATAACTTGGTTTGATTTCAAAATAACCTCTTTGTAACATAAATATGGCCTTCGTAGACAGTGACATATCAGAACAAATGAATTAGCTGATTCATTGATAGATTCATTATTAACTATTACAAGAGTGGAGTGATTAGAAGATACTATTAATGGAGCCGGGCGTGGTGGCTCACACCTGTAATCCTAGCACTTTGGGAGGCTGAGGTGGGTGGATCACCTGAGGTCAGGAGTTCAAGACCAGCCTGGCCATAATGGTGACACCCCATTTAAAAAAAAAAGAAGAAGAAGAAGATACTATTAATGTACCTTTGGTCCATTTCATTTATACTCAGGTAACTAATCTTCATCTCCAATTTAACTGCTCAAATAGAACCCAGTTCTTTTCATTCACAGCGTTTCTCAAAGTTTTTAATTGTTTCATTACTGCAACGCTAGCAGCTGTGTCTAATAAGGCTTAAATGTTACTGATTTGACACAATACCTTTCTCCCTTGCCAGTTAGGGACCTGAGCATGGGGGGGTTCCTAGTCAGTGGGCAGCCTTTACCTATGTGGCTATTCAAGGTTGGGCCAAGATTTTTCTATTCTTTTTGTAACTACTTTTTTGGGAGAAAGAACCCACTTAAAACCTTGCAGTGCACATCCTGGTGTGTGCCCAATATCCCCTTTATTGCTGAGGCGTTCGTCCTCCCCGCCCCGCCCCACCAGTGCCAAGAATGTGGCCTGCTGAGTCCCTCTCCACAAATTGATGTCCACCAAACAGACTCACCTCACTCAAGATGATGCCTGCCCTCTCCCTGGGGCAGCCTGTATCCTGTGGTCAGTGGAGAGTCATGAAAGGCTGCTCTCCTCACTTCAACAGAGAAAACTCTGAAGAGCAGTCCTAGCTTCAGAGCTCCTGGGAGGATCAGCCAAGGTCTTTGTTTTGGCTGCTCAAATCCTCCCACCACCTGGCCTTGCTTACTCTCCCACTGTTAACTCCTGGAGAGCACCCCCCAATTAACTTTTTCATGCAAATCTCTTTCTCAGAGTCTATTTCCAGGGAATTTCACCACCCCAGACCCAAAGGACCGACCTAAATCTTCTTGGTTCGGTTTTCATTCTTCACTTCCCATTGACTTTGAAAGTTTGCACCTTCTTTGCGTCTCTTCACAGTGATATTTCAGCACTGCGTTCACAGCTCCTGTTTGCTGCAAGTCTCTGCTCTTCACCTCATCTTTGACATTTCTTAGTGGTCTCCTTTTATTGCCGCATTACTTTAGGAAAAGGTGAGGTATAAATTACCAAGGTAATAAATATTCAAATTGCACAGACCATCTGCCCCT